AGGTTCGGAGAAGCATGGAGGTTCACAAAGTGCTGTGCCTGCCACGACATCTGCACATGGAGGTTCACAAAGTAATGCGCCTGTCACGACATCTGCACATGGAGGTTCACAAAGTAATGCGCCTGCCACGAACTCTGCACATCGAGGTTCACAAAGTGCTGTGCCTGCCACGAATTCTGCACATGGAGGTTCACAAGGTGCTGTGCCTGCCACGAAATCTGCGCATGGAGGTTCGCAAAGTGCTGCGCCTGCCACGAAATCTGCACATGGAGGTTCACAAAGTGCTGTGCCTGCCACGAAATCTGCACATGGAGGTTCACAAAGTGCTGTGCCACTGTGCCTACCACGAAATCTGCACTTCAAGAATCAACTGAAACCTCTAATCACAATGGAGGGACATGATCCGACCATGACCCGAGACCGTCTCGCAACCGTCGATTCCGCGGAGCTTCCCCGTCGAGGTTCGGAGAAGCATGGAGGTTCACAAAGTGCTGTGCCTGCCACGAAATCTGCACATGGAGGTTCACAAAGTAACGCGCCTGCCACGAAATCTGCACATCGAGGGTCACAAAGTGCTGTGCCTGCCACGAACTCTGCGCATGGAGGTTCACAAAGTGCTGTGCCTGCCACGAAATCTGCACATGGAGGTTCACAAAGCGCTGCGCCTGCCGCGTAAACTGAAGCTAGAGCTATTGAAACTAGAGCTAACTGGAGCTAGAGCTCTTGAAACTAGAGCAAACTGGATGATGAGTGGTGTATATTGAGCGGTGTATGATGAGTGGTGTATGATGAGTGATGTATGATGAGTGGTGTATGATGTGTGGTGTGTGATGAGTGGTGTATGATGAGTGGTGTATGATGAGTGGTGTATGATGAGTGGTGTATGATGAGTGATTTTTGATGAGTGGTTTATGATGAGTGGTGTATGATGAGTGGTGTGTGATGAGTGGTGTATGATAAGTGGTGTATGATGAGTGGTGTATGATGAGTTGTATGATGAGTGGTGTATGATGAGTGGTGTATGATGAGTGGTGTATGATAAGTGGTGTATGATGAGTGGTGTATTGATGAGTGGTGTATGATGAGTGGTGTACTGATGAGTGGTGTATGATGAGTGGTGTATGATGAGTGGTGTATTGATGAGTGGTGTATTGATGAGTGGTGTATGATGAGTGTATTGATGAGTGGATGAACAGTTCTTGAATGTCCGTAACACGGAAGTTTCGTAAACTAAACTTCCTTTGACCATAGTCTGGATTGAAACGCTTGGCTTAAAGCACCTGCGTCCACTTGCGCTTGCCAGGAGCAGAGATTCGGCGCGGACGTTTCATGCTGCGATCCAAAGCGCCGCCGTCCTGGCCGCAGTGGCCGGCGTCCGAGCTGTGACCCTAAAAGGGTCGTTGCCCTTTTTCTCCAAAAAGCACCACTTCATTCAGAGCTTGGGCAGTTTTTGGGATGGAAAACAAGCACTGAAAGCTTTAACCAACGTTTTGAAGTCTTCGTCATCCGCTCAGGCTGGATACGTGTGCATCTTTAGCAATCACCGACTTGTAGGCGACGAGGGAGACGGATATGCGTGACTCCGCTGGTGACGTGTGTTGAAGTCACACAACTCAGAAAGAGGATCAGCTCCTGAGCCAAGTGAACCGCAGATGAATGAGCACAATGCTTCGATGTTTGCCTCTCTTGCTTGGATTTTGGCAGGTGGTTCACAATTTGGCTTTGATCCGGGCAATCCTCCAGCTAAGTTGCTTGGCAGGGCAGGGATCATTCTATAGAAAGATTCAAGGTCTCAACAAACCCTAAACGCGCCCTTCAGCATAAAGTGCATAGTGAGCTTTCAATTGTTCAAAGACCAGCTCTTTCTGTGCGAAGTTGACTGAGGACGCTTCATGCCTTGTTTGGCTACATTGTCCTGAGCCTGATACTCTTGCAGGCGGGAGGGACAAGATCTGCTTGCAACATTGCCACAACGTGGTCGTTCAGA